ACTCAGTGACTCATGTAATTTCTCCTATATGGGCATTGCTATATTTGGGTAATGACCAGGGGCGGACTGACAACTCATGGGGCCCCCCGGGCAATAGGGAATCATGGGGCCCCTGTGTCCTAGCCCAAACTCAAAAAAGCCTATGAAAAAGGTATCAGGGGTATCTCATGGGGCCCCCTACTGAACCGGGCCCTCGGGCAGTGCCCGAGTTTCCAAATGGTCAGTCCCCCTGATAATGACATTACCACTATCTTTGGCCTCTTTGTTTATATATAGCTTTTGGCCAGAGAATCTCTTGGTCCAGAGCTGAGTGGGGCTTGGAATAGAGCCTTGTGCAGGAAGATGTCACATACATGACAGCTCCCCAGCACAAACATCCCCTACTTATTAAAATGGAGGCAGAACTACCTTTACTTGGCGCATATGTCAGTATGGCACATGCTTGCTTAAATTAGGCTCAGGTAGTTCTAAAGGTATTATAAATGTGTTATTGCTCTTTGTTCTGGACATTAACACTGAAAATGTTATAGATAGGCAATTCCTATCCTCATATTGATTAGTGGTTCCAAATTAATATAACTACTGCAGTATGGGACAGATACAAATAGATACACTTAGCATCTTTCCAAACCACTGTTCTGTTTATTTGAAGCTTTTTTTATCCACATGATTACGTAGGTATCACATTAATATTACAATTGTACTTTATGGTAACGAGGGGATTTACATAGGCAGGCTAATTTCAAATCAGTACTTGAAGGAGTGCAAACGTAATGAAAACATTATTAGTGCTGTGTGCACAAGGAGTGCAATGTACAATACATAGGCAAACCATACAAAATAGAATACAATTGTATACAGAAATTACAAATTTCCCTTACAACCTCCTCTCTTTTGATCAATATTTTACATTTTGATCACAGACCACTACTATGACCTTTAAACCTTGAACCTCCTTATGTTTAGGCAGAACTAGTCCTGGAGGCAAACTACACTGGGGAGAATCTAATAGCTGAGAGCAGCTATATCTATGCAAAATTACTTTTTATTATGACTAAAACCTACATATAAAAAACAAATGATTGATAGGAAATATTTACAGACTAATTGGCTGTACACTCAGATCCTGTGGCCAGAATGGCCTTGTAGCTTAACCTCCCTAGCAGTATGATTATTTCAGATTTTTGGTGCTGAAAGCGGTACCATTATTTTGCATGGAAATAAGTAGTTTTTTTATTGTAGGCTGTAATTTTTAGGAATAACTCACTGAAATCTGTCCGAACAAGAGTCTATTAAACATCCCGGGTATGATAAAATTTGAAACACAAAATCATAAATTATAATTAAATAAATAATCATAAAAAATAATAATATAATAATAATACATTTAATTCAATAATATAATCAAACCGAAAACACTGAAATTTGAAATATAGCGCCAAGTTCGCACATTGCTGAGCAAAGTCGCAAAATCGTTTTCAGTGTCTGATGAGGAATTTCCCCACGAATCATTATCACTCAATTCTGCAAGTGGTTCTAATTTACTATCACTGTTCTCTAGCCGGTCTAAAACCGCTTTTGACCTAAAGGGACACTTTTTGGACGCCATGGACATTTCTCAATTTCCAGGCAGAAAGAACAGACAAAACGCAGGCAGGGCACAGGACAAAGCATTAGGGACAATATGTATGTGAAATGGGTTAAAACAGCAATGTTTTACTATGAAAAATGTGTTTTGAAAAAAATGACATTTTTTAAATTTTTCGAATTTCCCGCCGCCGCCACCAGCGCCCGTACGTCCCGATGTCACAGGGACCGGAACACAGAAGCCGGATGCCGGCATCGGCCGGAGGAGATGGCCGGGGATGCTGCAGGGGACACATCACGGGAGCGAAGGACAAGGTAAGTGCTGCAGGGACTCCCTATGCAGCGCCGCATGGTAAGCCTGAGTGTAGCTCGGGGTTACCGCTTTTGGCACTGACATTTTACCCCAAGCTACACTCGGGAATACCGTTAGGGAGGTTAATTGTGGGCATGCTGACTTACCAGCATAGTTAAACACAGACAATTCTACATAAAATCGAAGACATATAAAACACAATATGACTTCAACATGGCTGAACTACTTTTCAAATCACATTAAATATACATATATCTTACTAATACCCTTACTAATATATTTATTAAAGCATTTGAATAAACAGTACCCCAGACTGTGATTCCAAAAGGAAACCAAATTAAACACAGAGATACTTTCATTTAGTCATTTTTTCAATGTCTGCTGTGGATCCAGCTGAATTTTCCTGCACGTTTTGTAAACTGTACATGAACTAGAAACTGTATTGTGTCTCCAACCATTTCCTATATATATAGTGTAGATGTCTCTTAACAGTCTACAAGTCACCTGGCTTTAGTTTATGACATTCTTCCAAAATGTTAGGATCTGGAATTTGGAGAGAAAAATATATAAATTAGTTTGTAAAAACCTTCAGAGATCAGCAACATTCTCTCTGAGATCCTAGTGGAGGACTTCAGCTGCTGAGAAAAATATAAGTGAGCGACACACTTCTAAAATAAATCTCATAGGAGAGAGTTCATATATCCCCTTAGGGGATTAAAAATTATTCAGGCCATAGTTTTCTAGTTTTTGACATTTCACTTAGTAGTTACTCTACTTTTTTCCATTACATTGTGGACAGTGGTGGGTGTAAAATAAAACCTCAAAACGTCTTGTAAGAATCTTCCCATAAAACAAGTTCCTTTGTTATTCTCTCTAGCTTCTGGGGCTCTGTACTTACAAACTACTTCTGATACCACTGTTTACTGTGGGCTTTGCATTATCATTTGCCACTGGCCAAACTTCTGGCCATTCAGAAAACATGTCCATGCAGACCAGTGCATTCTTGTAAGATCCTGACTTGGGCATCTGGATATATCCTTCTGCAATTTCTGGAAGGGATCCTTTTATAAACTCTGGAAGGGATGTTCAGTTTTTGCTAAGACCTTTGGTAACTGGTAAAACAAGAAGTGCTATATTTAAAAACAACAGTGGTGAACCCTGGCGCTATCCCAGGCTCATTTACTAAGGCAGCCATAACTGCTTCTGACTGATGACACAGTCCATGTGTCAAGCTGAAGAGTGGAAAAGAGTGGCTGGCAGACCTAAAAGATCACCTTTTTCCAAAGTCCTGTTTCAGTCGCCAGGTCTGTTTCCAATGTGTGCGTTTTAATGTTAGTATGGCTACCTCAGCAAGAAGCTGGAAGGCTGAAGACAGCCAGCCAATTAACTTGCATGCTTGATTGGTTTACCTGCCAATGTAAAAAACTTCTAGTCCTTCAAATTGAACAAAAATCATGCACCATCCCAAAAGGTCTCTAATTCTCTACTATCTATATAAACGTATACTCTTTTGATACCTCACAGGGTTTGCTAAAGCATGGAGCTCTGCTTCTTGAGCTGGGGAAAAAGGATCCAATTGCTCTGAATACAGAGCGTCCATCTGGTTGATAACTGCATATTCAGTATGGGTCTAGCCATCCTCGGTATGAAACCGAGATCAAATCTATTAAAAAACAAATATATAGGTCTTCAAGGAGTGTCCTCACTGGGCTCACAGCAGCTGATTTCTACAACATCAATTTAACACATGTGGTTTTTCTTTGTATCCAGCCTCCTCCAATACAGGCAATAAGGTGACTGGGTTCAATGGTATGCCTTTTTCATTGTTATATTGTGTACATAAATAACAATACAAATTCATATTTTGCGAACCTTGCATTTGACAAATATGTAGTCGGCTGTTTGCAATAATTGCTGCACAAAATGTGGGACCATTAAAGTTGAATAATTGACCAAAATAATGTATGTACCTTTGTCTAGTAGCACCTTGCATACAGCTACTGCTTTGATATAGTCGGGTGAACCCGTCATTACTGGGTCTAGCAAACATAAAATATATCTCAATGGCTTTTTTTTCCTACCATGCTCTTTGTGTAAGAACTCCAATTTAATGTTCTAAAAAGTCAACCTTTTCCTGGCAATATTATAATTTCTCTTTGTTTGCTCTGTGGTTAGTTTTTGTTAGATAATACAAGTCCCTAGTTTCCATCTTCCATATTTTTCCAAAGTCACAACATAATATATGATAACAATACTGTGCAGTCATGCAGAGACGTTCGTAAATCCAAAGTTTTCTTTAGCTTACCACTACACTTACAAGGAAAAGGGACACATCATTTCACAGTCCACACATTCTGTTTGGATTTCAAAAATAAAAATAAATAAAAACAAAAAGTACCAACAATCTGTATATGAAAGAACAGAAAATCATTGGCCAGATCAAAAAACTATTAAACAGCCAGCAGCAGGTGGCTTCCATCCTAACATGGTGTGTGGGCTTGGTGAAATGAGGCTGTAATTTTATTTATTACTCTCACATCATGGACCGCACATCTACTTACTATATGACCTTTCGTTTTCATTTTTATAGAAAAAGTTCTCATGTATCCTGTCCATCTAGGCTCAATTAAGTATTAAGGCAGCTGCAATATAACCACCTCATGTTAATCAAAAGTAATCCCATATCCACCCTATTAGATTGTAAGCTCTTATGAGCAGGGCTCTCTTAATACTCTTGTTTTTTATTGTAAAAGTACTGTCTACCTTTATATTGTAAATAGAGATGAGCGAATTATTCAAAAATTCGATTCGGCTGATTCGCCGAATTCGCGCAATAAATTCGATTCGAGCCGAATATATTCGCTGCGAATTTAACTTATAAAAAGGGTGTTTCTAGGCTTCAGAGAGCCTTTATATTAGTGCAGAACACTGTACCTTTAATTTAAATGCCCTTGGAGTCTGCTGGGGAAGAGAAATAATACTGTCAGTCAGTATGACATGCAGATGAGTGCCGTCGATCTTAGAATCACCGCACACTTCACTCATTTGGGCAGTCACGGGGCCAAAACCAGAGTGTGGAGCCACAGTGTGGCGGTGGAGGCAGCAGCAATGGGAGGCCATACAGCACCCTATGACAAAATGGAACCCACCAGCAGTGTGAGGAGACCTGAAAGTGGCACATGGCAGAGTGTGGCGATGGAGACAGCAGCAATGGGAGGCCGTACAGGGACCCATGACACACTCTGGACCTGGCAGCAGCATGAGGAGGCGGTACAGGGGCCCATGACAGATTACGGGCCTGGCAGCAGCATGAGGAGTCGGTACGGGGGCCCATGGCAGATTACGGGCCTGGCAGCAGCAGAGGAGGCGGTACAGGGGCCCATGGCAGAGTGGCGGAGCGTAAGCAGCTAAAATTGAAGGCCATACAGAGGCCTATGTTAAAAAGTCCCCCCCAGCAGCAGCGTGGGGAGACGACTATCAAGAGTCCAATGGCAGAGTGGCGGAGCAGAAGCAGCTTCAATTGAAGGCCATACACAGGCCTAGGTTAAAAAGCGGAAGCCGTCAGCAGCGTGAGCAGACGACAGAGACACATGGCGCAGGGTGGCGGTGGATGCAGCAGTATTCGGAAGCCAAACACAGGCCTCGGTTAAAAAGCGAAAGCCGTCAGCAGCGTGAGCAGACGACAGAGGCACATGGCGCAGGGTGGCGGTGGAGGCAGCAGCAATGGAAGGCCATACAGCACCCTATCACAAAATGGAACCCACCAACAGTGTAAGGAGACCTGAAAGTGGCACATGGCGCAGGGTGGCGGTGGAGGCAGCAGTATTCGGAAGCCAAACACAGGCCTCGGTTAAAAAGCGGAAGCCGTCAGCAGCGTGAGCAGACGACAGAGACACATGGCGCAGGGTGGCGGTGGATGCAGCAGTATTCGGAAGCCAAACACAGGCCTCGGTTAATAAGCGGAAGCCGTCAGCAGCGTGAGCAGACGACAGAGACACATGGCGCAGGGTGGCGGTGGATGCAGCAGTATTCGGAAGCCAAACACAGGCCTCGGTTAAAAAGCGGAAGCCGTCAGCAGCGTGAGCAGACGACAGAGGCACATGGCGCAGGGTGGCGGTGGAGGCAGCAGCAATGGAAGGCCATACAGCACCCTATCACAAAATGGAACCCACCAACAGTGTAAGGAGACCTGAAAGTGGCACATGGCGCAGGGTGGCGGTGGAGGCAGCAGTATTCGGAAGCCAAACACAGGCCTCGGTTAAAAAGCGGAAGCCGTCAGCAGCGTGAGCAGACGACAGAGGCACATGGCGCAGGGTGGCGGTGGAGGCAGCAGCAATGGAAGGCCATACAGCACCTATCAAAAAATGGAACCCACCAACAGTGTAAGGAGACCTGAAAGTGGCACATGGCGCAGGGTGGCGGTGGAGGCAGCAGTATTCGGAAGCCAAACACAGGCCTCGGTTAAAAAGCGGAAGCTGTCAGCAGCGTGAGCAGACGACAGAGACACATGGCGCAGGGTGGCGGTGGATGCAGCAGTATTCGGAAGCCAAACACAGGCCTCGGTTAAAAAGCGGAAGCCGTCAGCAGCGTGAGCAGACGACAGAGGCACATGGCGCAGGGTGGCGGTGGAGGCAGCAGCAATGGAAGGCCATACAGCACCCTATCACAAAATGGAACCCACCAACAGTGTAAGGAGACCTGAAAGTGGCACATGGCGCAGGGTGGCGGTGGAGGCAGCAGTATTCGGAAGCCAAACACAGGCCTCGGTTAAAAAAAGCGGAAGCCGTCAGCAGCGTGAGCAGACGACAGAGACACATGGCGCAGGGTGGCGGTGGATGCAGCAGTATTCGGAAGCCAAACACAGGCCTCGGTTAAAAAGCGGAAGCCGTCAGCAGCGTGAGCAGATGACAGAGACACATGGCGCAGGGTGGCGGTGGATGCAGCAGTATTCGGAAGCCAAACACAGGCCTCGGTTAAAAAGCGGAAGCCGTCAGCAGCGTGAGCAGACGACAGAGGCACATGGCGCAGGGTGGCGGTGGAGGCAGCAGCAATGGAAGGCCATACAGCACCCTATCACAAAATGGAACCCACCAACAGTGTAAGGAGACCTGAAAGTGGCACATGGCGCAGGGTGGCGGTGGAGGCAGCAGTATTCGGAAGCCAAACACAGGCCTCGGTTAAAAAGCGGAAGCCGTCAGCAGCGTGAGCAGACGACAGAGACACATGGCGCAGGGTGGCGGTGGATGCAGCAGTATTCGGAAGCTAAACACAGGCCTCGGTTAAAAAGCAGAAGCCGTCAGCAGCGTGAGCAGACGACAGAGACACATGGCGCAGGGTGGCGGTGGATGCAGCAGTATTCAGAAGCCATACACAGGCCTAGGTTTTTAAAACTGGAACCCAGCAGCGTGAGCAGACGACAAAGACGCACATGGCAGAGGATGGATCTGGCAGCAGTATGAGAAGGCGGTACAGGGGCCCGTGGCACAGTGTGGTGATGGGGGCTACAGCAACTGGATGCCAGAAAGTGGCCGATACGGCTATGTACTGCATGGAATTATAAAGTTGTAAAGACAGCGGCCTATTTGTCCCTAATAACATGTTTGGGGCATGATTCATGGCGGATTTAGTCAGTTGTGTCAGGAACTGGTGGTTTGAAATCCAGACTAATCCACGCCTGATTCATTTTCACAAACGTGAGTCTCTCCACACTTTGGGTGGACAGTCGTGTCCTCCGCGGAGTTACAATACCTCCTGCCGCACTAAACACGCGCTCCGATGCCACGCTACTGGCCGGGCATGACAGCCTTTCAAGGGCAAATTCAGCTAGTTGGGGCCAAAGGTCAAGTTTCGTTGCCCAGTAGTCAAGGGGATTGTCTACCTCGGTTGGCAGGGTGCTGTCCAAGTAGGCCCAAGCCTGTTGTTTGAGGTCCTGCTCCAGGTCCACCTGATGCTGCTGCTGCTGCTGCTGCGGCTGGTTAGTAGTTTCCTCACTGCGCTGGTGAAGAAAGCTACTCATCATCGACTGCAGACTGAGGCAGCCGCTGCTGGTGGAGCTGCCACTGCTCCTACCACCCCACCCCTCCCCTGCTGCCATGGCAGCGGAACGCGAGCGCACAGGGCCCACAGTGTCTGAGGATGGACGTTGGCGCAGAAAGGCAGAGACCAACTGACTACATAGGTGGTTTTTATAGTACTTTATTTTGGCCTCCCTCTCAGCAGGTGTGAAAAAGGCCACCATTTTTGAAGGGTAGCGAGGGTCCAACAAGGTGGACAGCCAAAAGTCATCCCTCTGTCTGATGGTTATTATTCGGCTGTCGCTACGCAAGCAACCGAGCATGCTATGGGCCATTTGTGCCAAGGAATGCGAGGGACTCCCTGCCTCCATCTCCACAGCATACTGCCACGGTGCGTCTGGGTCCTCTGTCTCCTCCTCCTCCTCTACCAGATGCTCCTGCTCCTCCACTCCTGTCCGCTGAGTGGAAAAAGCACCCATTTCACTCAATAATTCCTGAGCACCAATGTTCTCCTCTACCTCCTCCTCTTCTTCCTGTCCTGCCCCCACAGGGGTCATGTGGCGTTGAGATCTGTGCGCCACGTCTACCGCACCCTGACCAGCCATTGTTAACAGCATTTGTTCCAGGACGTGCAACAGAGGAATGACGTCGTTCATCCCATAGTCCTGCCGACTCACGAATAGCGTGGCCTCCTCAAAGGGCCTGAGCAAGCGGCAGGTGTCACGCATGAGCTGCCAATGGCTGACATCTAAGTTACACAGGGGAGTACCTTTATCGCTTGTAACATCAGGAAATCGGTGATGGCCTTTCGCTGTTCGTAAAGGCGGTCTAACATATGTAGGGTTGAATTCCACCTTGTTGCAACGTCGCAGATCAGGCGATGCTGTGGAATTCCGTTCTGCCGCTGCAGCTCAAGGAGGGTGTGCTTTGCGGTGTAGGAATGGCTGAAATGCATGCAAAGTTTACGTGACATTTTAAGGATGTCTTGCAGTGGGATGGTGGATTTTAGGAACCGCTTGACAACCAGATTGAACACGTGAGCCATGCATGGCGCATGGCACAACCTTCCTTGACGCAGAGCAGACACCATGTTCTTTCCGTTGTCGGTCAACATGGTTCCGATTTTCAGTTTGCGCGGAGACAGCCATCTGTCGATTTCTCTGTTCATTACACTCAGAAGTTCCTCCCCTGTGTGACTACGTTCGCCAAGGCATACCAGGTGCAGCACAGCGTGACACCGTTGCGCCCTGCACATGTGATATGCCGGTCGGGTAATGGGACTTGGCACGGGGGGGGTGGCGGCTGAGGACACGGCGGAAGAAAGAGGTGGTAGAGGCGGACATCTTTGCTGGACCAAGGACGTGCAAACGTGGAGGCAAAAGCGGCGTGACCTGTCCAAGTTGCTGGTGCGGCTGTGCCGGCACCACGTTCACCCAGTGGGCCGTAAATGACATGTACTGTCCCTGACCGTAGTTACAGCTCCACACGTCGGCGCTGCCGTGCACTTTGGCAGAGACCGACATGCTCAAAGACTGGCCCACCATCTCTTCTACATGTGAATGCAGGGCTGGCACTGCCTTTTTGGCGAAGAAATGCCGGCTTGGCACTCTCCACCGCGGCTCGGCACAAGCCATCATTTCTCGGAAAGGTGCTGAGTCCACCACTTGGAAAGAGAGGGACTGCAGCACCAGCAACTTGGACAGGAGGACGTTCAGCTTCTGCACCGTCGGGTGCGTGCTCGCAAACTGTTGTCTCTTGGAAACGGATTCCAAGAAAGACTGCTGACGGAATCCGTGAAGAGGAGTAGCAGGAGAAGGAGCATCTGAACGAGCGGAAGATGCCAACGAGCGACAACTCCCCTCAGCAGAGGTGTTGGAGCCTTGACTGGCTGATAGAGGGCGATTGACGTCGGGTGACGGAGCAAGTAACGGAGCGGGTGATGGAGCGGGGGCTGGGGCAGGCAGAACCGCCGTATCTTTATCACGGTTTTCCCAGGCCACCGAATGGCGACGCTGCATATGCTGACGCAACGCTGTAGTCCCAACATGGGCCCCCTGGCCACGCTTGACTTTCTGGCCACATAGTCGACATACGGCTACGTTTACTTCCTCGGGCGGCTTGACGAAAAATTGCCACACCGCCGAGTAGGAAACTTTGCCCCCGCTACTCCTCACTGGCTGACTGCTACTTCCTCCGTGCACACCGGCACCACTACTGGCCGTGGTGGTAGGCTGCAGTGGAGCTGGTGCTCTACTCCGTGGCCGTTTGCCTCCACTGACACTGCTGCGACCCTGCTGCCTCCTGGGCAACCCACCGACTGTTTTGCTCGCTGGCAAGCTGGCACCCTCTTCTCCTGATGATGCGGAAGCAATAGCCTGATGACGACGAGGCTGCCAAGTGCGATCAGCCTCATCATCATCAATTAGGGTCTCCGCGTCACTACTAGCCCCCTCGGCTGCGTGTGGGTCAGGAGACAGACCTGTCTCTAGACCGGCTACCGAGCCACTCTCCTCGCCACTACTTCTTCGC